CTCTCTCTCTCTCTCTCTCTCTCTCTCTCTCTCTCTCTCTCTCTCTCTCTCTCTCTCTCTCTCTCTCTCTCTCTCCTTTCAATCAATCAATCAATCAACTCGGGTCGGGTCGGGTCCCATCCCGACGTGTTCGAGATCGCACCAACTTTTTTTTTAATTTCAACCAATCAACCAGTCAATCGATCAATCAAACAAAGTTGATTGATTGATTGATTGATTGATTGAAACAAAAACCACAAACAAAAAACAAAGAAACCGGGTCGGGTCGGGTTCCGTCCCGGCCCGTTCGACATATTTCAATCAATCAATCAATCAATCAATCAGCGAGGGAGGCAGCGGATGGAAGGAGCGGAGGAGCGGGCGAAGCAGCAGAGGGAAGAGCGACGGGAAAGGGCGGGAAAGAGAGTCGAGCGGTGGTGGGCAGAGGGCAGCAGAGATGTGTGGAGAAGGGCGGAGGTGGGCGGACGTGCGCGGAGGTGGGCGGAATCGGGCGGAGATGGGCGGAGATGGGCGGAGATGGGCGGACGTGCGCGGAGGTGGTCGGAGTCGGGCGGACATGCGCGGAGGTGGTCGGAGTCGGGCGGAGGTGACTGGAGCGAAGATGGTTGGACCGGAGATGAGTAGGTGTAGAGGAGAGGGTCGCGTGGACCGCAGATGGGCCGAGGTGGGCGGAGGTGGGCGGAGGTGGGCAGGTGGAGCGAAGGTGGGTGGACTTGGGCGAAGGTGGGCGGAGGGGATCGGGATCAGGATCGGGAAGCGAAAGTGGAGGTGGCGAACTTGGCACGTGGCGAACTTGCCACATGGCGATCTTGGCACGTGGGAGGGGGAGGTGGTGACCTTGCCACGTGGCGATCTTGTCATGTGGGAGGGGGAGGTGGCGAGCTTGTCGCGTGGCGAACTTGCCACGTGGTGGGAAGCGGAAGCCGAGGGGGAAGCGAAAGCTGAAGATGGCCGGAGAGGAGGTGACAGGAGCAAAGATGGCCGGAGTGCAGGTGAGCGGGCGTAGAGAAGATGGCCGCGTGGACTGCAGATGGGCGGAGGCGGGCGAAAGTGGGGGGAGGTGGGGGAAGGTGGGCGAAGGTGGGCGGAGGCGAGCGGAGGGGATCTGGATCGGGAACTGGAAGCGGAGCGAAGGTGGCGAACTTGCCACGTGGTGATCTTGGCACGTGGGAGGGGGAGGTGGCGAACTTGCCACATGGCGATCTTGTCACGTGGGAGGGGGAGGGGGCGTGCTTGCTGCGTGGCGAACTTGCCACGTGGTGGGAAGCAGAAGCCGAGGAGGAAGCGGAAGCTGCAGCGGAGGCTGAAGTGGAAGGGGAAGAAGAAGCGCAGGGGAGGCGGAAGCGGAAGCAGGGGGGATACGTAAGCGGAAGGGGGGGGGATACGTAAGCGTAAGGGTGGGGGAAACGTACGCGGAAGCGGGGGTGGAGGGAAGAGGAAGCGGAAGGCAGAAGGCTAAGTGGGCAGATGGCAAAAGCGAAGGCGGAAGCGGAAGTGGGGGCAAGCGGAAGCGGAAGCGGGGCAGAAGTGGAATCGGAAGCGCCGAGAAAGTGGAATCGGGAGGGAAGCGGAAGCGGAAGGGGGGGGGAAGCGGAAGCGGGGGGAAAGCGCAAGCAAGGGGGGAAGCCGGGCAAGCGGAAGTGGGGGGAAGCAGAGGCGGAAGCGGAGAGTGGAAGTGGAAGCGGGGAGAAGCGGAGCGGGAAGCGGAAGTGCAGAGAAGCGGGGAGAAGCGGGGAGAAGTAGAGCCCGAAGCACAAGCGAGGAGAAGCGGAAGAGGGGAGAAGCGGGGAGAAGCGGAGCCTGAAGCGCAAGCGGGAAGAAGTGGAAGGGAGTCCAATCAATAAATCAATCAATAAATCAATCAATCAATCAATCACGTTGGTTTCTTGATTGGGCAGATCCTCTCTTTGAGAGGGACGCTCCGGTACCAAACTGTTGCCTACCAAGATGGTGCAGACCAGCACCAAGAACCGACCTCAAATCGATAGAGCCAGATAGGACAGCGGAAGACTGAAATACCAATGATCAAACCCACATCAATG